GGGTTGGCTCCTTTTAGAAAGAAAGGGTTTCAGTAAGTGGGGAGGGGAGCAGATCAATGTGTCCAACCACGATGAGGTATGCCTCTCAGATTAGGAAATCTCATTGGCCTTTTTCCACTCCACTTGGGGAGTTCTGGAAGCCAGGCCTTTCTTTCCTTTGTAGGTGGGAGATTAAAAGAGTCATCTCTGCTAAATCTGAACAATTTAAAGGAAAACTTTGAACGTACTGACAATGGAGGTTCCCCAAGGAAATAGCTCAACCAGATACTCCATTGGATGTTCAAAAGAGATTAGACCCATTTGGAAGCTCAGAGCTTCCAATCCACTTTTGTTTGCCTGTTTGTTTGTTTTAAAATCAATTTTTTCAATGTGTAGTGTGCATAAATAAATGCATTCGTTTAAAGTGTATGATTCAGTGATTTTTGACAAATATATACTCTCATGTAACTACTATCTAATCAGTGTGCAGAATATTTCCATCACCCCAAAATTTTTCTTATGCCCCTTTACAATCAACACTTTCCTCTCAGGCAAATACTGATTTCCTTTCTGTCATTATAGATTTATTTTGTCTTCTAGAATGTTGTATAAATAAACCACACAGTACTTTGTGTACAGTAAAATAAACCATATTTGTACTTTTTGTGTGTCTGGATTCTTTCACTCAGCACAGTGTTTTCTTCCCAAACCTTTTGTTATAGAAATGTTCAATCATAGAGCAAAACTGAAAAAAATTTTACAGTAAACACCCATATATCTACCACAAGATTATACTACAGTTGACCCTTGAACAACATGGGGGTTAGGGGTGCCAATCACAGCCAAAAATCCACATACAACACTTTTAAAAAAAAAAAAAAGATTTCATTGTTTAAAAGTAATCTCTACATCTGACCTGGGGCTCATACCCACAGCCCTGAGATCAAGAGTCACAGTTTCCCCCAGCTTAGCCAGCCAGGTGCCCCCATGTATAACTTTTGATATTGTAGTATTACTATTTTTTTTCATTCAAAGATTATTTGGTATTTTTGTTGGTATGATACTTAGATAATTGGTTGCATTGACTTCTTACATTATATGGTGATGTGCACTATTTCTGACATGTATAGTACACAAAACAAGATCCTTTAGAACAGTTATGCACAATACATGCAATATTGAATTTATACATGGGATCCCAGGATGTGACTGACTGGAGAAAAAAAAGATGGACTAGGCATGTTGAATGTTGGGTGAAAGAATCAGAAGTTATAGAACACCAGTAAATACACATCTTCATGTTCCCCAAGGACCCACCCAGGACAGCTTAATGGGTGAACTCCCAGCCTTTCCCCCCAGTACAAACCAGGCTGAATGCAGTTTGCAACCACTTCCAATAACACGGTTTTGGGGGAAGTCACTTATCTTCCAACCTACATAGGTCAAGATATCCATTGACTTGGAAACAACAAGCAACTTGCAGTTTGGGTTGTATTTTACAATATTAGGAATTATGATCTTAAAGATGTTCACGTGATACTGGACCAGATTAAGATGGCTTTCTCCCTCTTGCTGACATGCCCCAGCTGTGATAATAACCAGCTTGGTGTTTGCAGTCACATTATAGTCTTTGCCAGAGAAAATTTTTGGTGTTCTAAGGAAAAGGCTGCCATGCTGGAGATCCATCATCTCTCCCTTTAATTTGTCTTCCATGACATTAACAAGAGCAAGTTCATCTGCCAAGTCCTTCATTAAGACACTGATGGCACAAGCCATGCCAACAGCACCAACCCCAACAACTGCAATTTTATTCTGGGGGGTTGGGTCTTCCTTAAGAAGATTCTGAATCAGCTGATCCTTGAGAGTTGTCATAGTGTACTCAGAACCAGAAGGAATCAGGAGGGCTCGTTGGTTGGTGTTGGTGGTGTGCAGGGTTGAGTCTTGAGTCTGGACTTGGAGGCAGCAGCTCTCCCAAGGTATTCCTGTTTAATTTTTGAGGAACCAGCATGCCTTAGGGCAGTGGTGGCTGCTGGTCCCCGAGGCTACAAAACATTAGCCTGGAGGAGCCCTCCACCTTGTCCCACCTTGAACAACTACCTGATAGGTAGATGAGCATGCAAACAAAAACCTGATTGGGTGACAGGCAAGGGTTAATCAAATTTAAACAATCCACACGAAAGACCCCATAAAACCCCCCTAAATTTAAATGCCAGATTAACAACCCTCTTGGGTTCCACCCTCTTCAGGAGCTTTGTACTCTCAACAAACTTTGCTTTACTATCACTCAATAAACTTTGCTTTGCTTCCCACTACTCTTTGTCTGGTTTACCTCATCATTCTTCAAAGCAGGCATGACCAAGATCTGCAGGCACTGAAGAAAAAGGAATCCTGCAACAGAACTACCACTTCCTAGGCTCGGGTGAGGATGATTAGAACTCTAGTATTCTCGGCACTCCAGCCCCAGGTAGATCCTCTGTTCCATGAGTGGGCTGGATGGAAAAAGGATCCTCCACTTCTCAACCACACTTATTCAGGACTTAGCCTTAGTATCAGGTAGTAGCTAGGGGCTTAGTGAGAATTGTTGACATCCTGCTCCTCCCACAGGGATTGTCGGGAGAAGAGGCCCTGTATTCTTGATTGCAGCAGATGGATCTCTGGTGAGTTAGGAGTTTGAAGTGGTCTTGATTGAAATACCACAGATTCTCACTCACATTTCTTATCAAATTTTCATAGATTCTCTTGAATATATGTTTTTTTCATTTGCTGTTTTCTCATAGGACTATTTTCCAAGGCTTTCAATGATTGTTTGTTGTTGGCTTGTTTTAAAATGATTTTCATCAGGAGCACCTGGGTAATTCAGTTGGTTGAGGGTAGGACTCTTGATTTCAGTTCAGATCATGATCTCAGTCAGGGGTGTGAGACTGAGCCCCACATTGGGCTCCAGGCTGAGTGTAGAACTTGCTTGGAACTCTCCCTCTCCCTCTGCCCCCCACCCCCACTCCATGCACGTGCAAGCTCTCTTTCTAAAAAATAAATAAATAATTTTCATCAGTTTCACTAGGGAGTGGGTCACCTGAGCTCCTCTAGTTGTCATGCCAGTAGTTAATCTCTTGGCATTATTCTTGTAACTTTCCTATAAGCTTAAATTGATTTCAAGAAAAGTTAAGAAATAAAAAAAAAATCACAAAGTGGTTATTAGGAATAAATAGATTAAAATATAAAGTGCTTTCACATTTGTTATTTAATATTATTCCCATGCATTGATCACAAACACTAGCAGCACTCGCTTGCTCCTATGACAACCAGAACTACTTTAAACAAACACCCTAGGTTCGTAGCAGATCCAGTTACTGAGGAAGAGGACGATTTTACTTTACTATTCACGTTTCTTTTGTCTGGTCTAAGAATTAAATTGACATATGACAGGAGAACATAAAATTTAATTGCGTACCTAGCAGGCAATCAGGTGAGTGAGGCTTACATGCTATCCAGAGAGGAGAGGGGATCAGAGGTGTGGGACTTCAAAGGGAAGGAAGAGAGTTCAGAGGAACAAAAGAGTAAATGGTAAACAAATGTTTGCTGGGCAGCACAGAAACAATTGGACATAGAGAGGAATTTTAACAAACAGACTTTGCTAAGTTCTTCCCGGTCTAAAACACCTAGTTCATATTATGCTGTAGTTAACTATGGTGATCTCTCCTTTCCCAGGGCAGGTCCTCCATCTATGTTCAGAGATTATATATATAATATATATCATATAATATGTAATCAGTTCTTGGAGCTGTGTTTTGGGAAGTGATTAAGCAATATTTTTCAAACCTGATGATTCTTGGGTATTTAGCTATTGTCCTCCAAAGAGTCATCGTTTCATGTTTTCAAAGATGTACTTTGTGCTGAAGATTCATGTCAGTTATCCTGTGCTTCCAACTCTCACCAATGTTTTTTACCTGATTGATCCGCCAAGGATTGTAGTTTGCTTTAGCTTCAGAGTATTTTTACCTTCAATTTTATTTAATTTTGTTTCATTTTGTTTTCATAAGACAGTGTTTCAGCTATGTAATTGGGGCAAACCACTATAGGTTTATGTTGGATAGAAAAGTGAAATGTTACTAATGAGTTGAAATAACCGACTTTTGGTTGCCTATCAGTACTGTTGATACATATATTAGAATGTATGTCTCAGAAGATGGTTTCTGTTTAAATTTATGGTCAAGTTACAACAACTGAATTCTAACATGGATTAAAAGCTCCACATTAAAAATATATATATATCTTGTCCTATATATATGTATATGTCTTGTCCTTCTATATATATATATATGTATCTTCTTGATATATATATATATCTTGTCTTTCTATATATATATGTCTTGTTCTTCCATATATCTATGTTCAGATATATATAGATAGATATGTAGAAGGACAAGATATATATAAATCTTAACATATATAGAAGGATAAGTTCTTTATATATATAAAATATAATCAGTTATATAATATATATATTCAGATATATATCAATATATAATCATATATATATTTATATATAACCAGTTAAATATATACTATCTATACACAGTTATAGGGAGGGTCAAAATTCCTTCCAGAGTCTTGTTTCTCAAAAATAATCCCCTAAAGTAATCCACGTGCCACAGAGACCCATTTGCGGCCACAGTCTGCTCCCCTACACAGTGGAGGGGATTAACAGCTGGTTGGCTGTGGCATAGGAGCGCTTTAATTCACAGGGACTCACTGGGGGCTGGTGAGTGGGGGGCTAAGGGGGGTGTCTGGGCCCGACCCAGGGAGCGTCGGTCACCAAACTTCCCCAGCATGAACGCAGAGAGACGCCTCGAGGGAGAAAGGCCAATGGAGGCGGGCCAGCAGGGAGGCGACACGTCCGTTTGCAGGCTCAAGCTTTCGGTTTCCTTTTCTCCATCTTGCTCGGATTTTGGGGCGTCATCGCCAGCGAAGTCGATAGGTCGCAGCTCGAGAAGAGTCCCGCGGTAAGCAGGCTGGTACGTGCCCAGGGCTTGCTCCCCTGGCTCGCGACTCCCCCCGGGCGCGGGCCCACCCAGCCAGCCGGGGAGGGCCTGGGGGGCCACCCCTCCCGCCCCTCCCGCCCCTCGCCGCTGCTGCTGCACTGCTCCTTCCGGAGCTGACCTGGGGCGGGGGCCGCCAGGCCTCGGTTAGGGGAGCAGACGGCCTCCTGGCGGACGATCCCCGGGTTAGGGTCCTCCCGTTGGCTTCCTCCGCCGGGGCCCGCCGGACCTGCTCGGCCGCCGGGGGCACCCGCCCGGTCACGGTTAGGGGAGCAGACGGCCTCCTGGCAGACGATCCCTCGGTTAGGGTCCTCCTGTCCTCCTGCCGGCTCCCTCCCGCGGGCGCCCGCCCAACCTGCTCGGCCGCGGGGGCCCCCACCCGGGGCTGCCGCTGCCACCGCTGCCCCCGTTGCCCCCGCTGCTGCCAGGCGCGCCCGGGCCCGCGTAACCCTTGCCCAACATCGAAGCTCCAGAGGACGAGCTTACTCCAGGGGACGAGTAAACGTTGCTTAAAATCCTCTTTGGGCAGGTGGCTCCATTCCTGGGGTAAACTGTTCCAAAGATTTGGCAATTAACTTTCGAAAAGCTGATGATGAGCCTTTTTCCCCCCTCCGTGATTACGTGTCTCTGCAGAAGCAGCCCGCCCGGCAGGAATTTTTACTTTATCGCAACAGTCTGGTGAAGTAGGTCAAGGGTTGCCTTTCACAACAGGGGACGTACAGATCTTGAGAAATTGCAAGGAAACTTCTTTTGCTAAAGTTTGGAATGACTGGGCAAGGCTTTTGTAAAGCCGTCCCATGGACTTGCGCCCCGCGCCCCGCCTTGCCCCTCCTTCAGAAGGACTGGGAAGGAGACACACACGTAGGCGGAGGGAGAAGCAGGGAGCTGGACGTGGGACAAGTTCCCGGATTCTGGAATCATGCCCTGAGCCCAAGATCGCAACCTGGTCTCAACCGCCCAGCCACCCAGGCTCCCCAGAGCTGGGAAATGTTAAGTTGATTTCAAAATGTACCTGCTTGATAGTGTCCGGATTTGGGCAGAAGGACAAGTTCTTTTTTAAACATTACAGGGGGAAAAAAAAGAAAAACATTTCAGGGGAAAGCAATAGAACAAAGGCCACGGAAGAGTGTTTTGGCCCTAGCGAACAGGAAATGAGCAGGGCGCGGGTTAGTAAAAGGCCCTAAAACCCCGAATTATTTTCATTTGTTGTTGACATTTGAAATTTACTTACACGATGAGACGGTAATGACAACAAAGAGATGGAATATGTCACCGACAAACCCGGATAATCTAAAACTAAGACTGGGCTCTGGTGGGCTTGGCCTAGTTTAGGTAAGAGATTTCAGAGAAGTGGAACAGAATTCTTGGTATTTTTCCCTCCATGGTTCCCCGTAAGTAATATTACAAAAAAAAAAAAAAAAAGTTTCATTGGGAGAAAATTTGGCTGAACTCCAAAACTACAAAGAAGGCAAAAGAAAAGACTCGGGTTTGGAAGGGGATCTTGAATGTCATACAGAATTTTTTACTTTTCATGTATTTTTTAAAGGTTTTCTTTATTTATTCATTAGAAAACAGAGAGAGAGAGAGAGAGTCAGTCAGAGACACAGGCAGAGGGAGAAGCAGGCTCCATGCAGGGAGCCTGTCGTGGGACTTGATCCGGGTCTCCAGGATCAGGCCCTGGGCCGAAGGCGGCGCTAAACCAGGCTTTCATGTTAACGTTTCATGTTAACGTTTGTTTTGCTTACAGCTTTTGAGATGCGTATCCTGATTAAAATGACTTTTTCTTACGACTTCACGTTTTCTATTTCTGTTTGTAACTGACATTTGCACTTCGCTTTAACACTATATTCCTTACTAGCTTGCACCCATTTTCGACGGTGAAGCCGCCTGCAGGTCTGCAGGAGTGGGGTGCACCTTGCACCACGCGATTGGGAGAGTGGGTGGGAGCATAGTCTCGGGCAGGGTTTTTTTTTTCTTTTTCTTTTTTCTTTTTTTTTTCCGGGGGTAGCAGGGGCCTAGTGGAAGCTCGAAACGAAAATAGCTTTGGTCCTGGGGCACTTGAGTCACAGCCTCGCTCCCTGCCAGGACATGGGGGCACAGCCGCAGCACCCACTCATTCTCCGCCAACAGCATGTAATTTCCCCCGAGCTCCACGTGGCGCTTTGCTTAGACAAAGAAGAGTTTCGGGACTGCCCCACGTACGCTTGCGGAGTGTTTTTTAGGTGCGGGGGCGGAGAGTTCTCGAACCGTGTCTCCTGTGGGCTGCCTGGAAGAGGCGCGCAGAGACTTAGCTGGATGCGGCCATCGGGAGCCCGCTGGAGGGTGCACCTGCCGAGCGGTGCGACGCGGAAGTCCAGTCTCTGGAATACCCCCAAGGCCTGCTTCCCGGAGCTGCGAGTCGGTCAGCGGCGGGTCTCACCCCCGCCCGAGGTCGGGCGGGAGCCGGGCTGCCCGGGCGTGAGTAGACTAAGAATCCCGTCCGCCCCTCCTCTCTCGACCTGCGCGTCGTGCTGGAGTCGCCTGGGCTCCGGGGGCGGAAGGTCACTGTCTCCGACCCCCACCCCCACCCCCCACCCCCTCGGAAAAGGATTGAACAGCTTTTTTAGCCCTCTGGCCTGTTCTGGAGCCTTCTGGGGACTCACCTGCGGCAGTCAGATCACCAGGCATGTCACTTTTTTAAAATCTCAGGAATGTATCCCTTTGGTTCTTTCTTTCTTTTGGGCCCCAAAAGCTAATTAAACTCGTGTTTATGGACTGAACTGCCTCCTCTCCTTTGATTTGATGTAATCCTACCAACATTATTGAGCTCCTATGGGCCAGGCTGAGTTCTGGGCGCTGGGGACCTAGAGATGGATCTGAACTTGGTTCCTTACCCCCCAGGAGCTCACAGAGCGGTTAGGGGAGACCGAGCAAAGTTACCTACACAGGTAGGTAGCCTTTACAGGGGCCGCTGACAGCCACGAATGGGGGGAAGGCTGTTGGGCCACGTTGGAGAAATAATGACAGATAACAGAGGGCAACGCCTACTTACACTCATTCTTGCTTTCCTTACTATATATCAGAGAGATAACAAACATTATCGTTCTTGCAATGCCCTATTTCTCCTTTATGTTCAGCTCCTGTCACCTCCTCTCAGAAGCTTTCATAACCCACCACCACGTGTCCCCTTTCTCTATACTTTCATACACACGGTGGCTGTCTTTACGCTTACCATATGATTGCACTTAACACTCTGTATTGTAAATACTTTTCTTCAAAAACTTTTCAGTGAAGTTGTATTGTGATTATCGGTGTTTAAGTACCTGCAAAGTGAATAGAGAAAGCCCTCAGGAGTCCATTCCCTAAGATAAGAGAAGGTTGCAGTGTTTAATGTCTTTTTTCAGACATTTAATGCACTTACATACGGACTTCTAAGTGTTTTAAAATATTTTTTTTCTTATTTTGTATGATGCTGTGTCTTCAATTGCATATCAGAACTGGTGTTTATTTTTTTCTATTAACATCTCTGCTTTTCTCAGATGGAATTTCATTCGCCTCTAGCATCAGTGTTTCTAATGAAAGATTTTTTTCCTAATGACCACTTTTCTTGTTTTTGAGAACATATGTATCCATAATTTCCATTTAATTCATCTGCTTGTTCATATGTCCCCAAAGTTTTTTCTCCCTCAATTCTGGGTTCAGAGAAGTAATTTCTTCTTTGACTCCAAGTACATACAAATGAATGAATATATATGTATATGTGTGTGTATGTATATATATGTGTGTATATATATATACATATATACACAATATGTATATATAGTCTTTGCAGATGAAACTGTTTCTTTCTCTGATTATCTCTGCTTTTAGCCACTTTGTCTTTATTTAAATTTTTGTGCAAAACAGGCAAAGAGCTCCTTTGTTGTTTTCCTCCTATTGGGGTTATAATCTTTGGTAATTTAGTACTTAGAAGAACTAACCTTCACCCATGTGATACCACATTCATCTGTATATTCAAGATGGTTTGTGTCTTCTGCAGTGAACTCTTCAATTGGAGAAATTAACCCACTTTATTTACATTAATATCTATATACTGAAATTTTTCTTTTTTTATATATATACTGAAATTTTTCAATGTAATTTTAAAAAATCCTCATAGCTACTTACTCCAAGGTTTAAAATGTTCTTCAGGCTAATGGCTTCCTTCTATTATTTGATTTTACAGGTGGGAACCCAAGCTTCCTTATCTAGCTGTCAAATTCTTGAGCTTTTTTTTTTTTTTTTTTTTTAAACTTCTTTTGGATCTTCCATTTAGCTTACTATATCTTTTTTGTTTGGTTTTGGTTTTGGATTTTACTTGAAGCTTCCAGAAAGTATAGTTTTAATAATCATTAATTTTGTTCTAAAGAGTAGGGACATGACAAATCTTGTTTGGATACTAGCTGGTGAATAAACCAAATTCCTTGCAAGAATGACCAAAGCTTGATTCAAAGTTGAATAAAATAAATCAATAATAAGTGAATTCCTTCATTCAGCATTTACTGAGCACCTACATTTACTTAGTCTATCTTTTTTTAGGTGGGTTGTCAACTGGAATGTCAAGGAACCTAGAAAGTGGGAGCAGACAGGAGATCAGAAGCTGGGTACCATTAAATAGATACCAGAGATAGTGATGGGGCTGGAGCAAATGGGGAATTTTTATTTTCTTCTGTACTTTTCTCCATTTTCCAGGTTTTCTTGTAGCACACAAGTAGTACTTTTTATAATTAGAAAAAAGAATGCTGTGTAAAAAGAATTGCAAGATCTGTATATCTCTGACTTATGATTTTGAACAGGACTATCTCCTGATGGGCCAACCTCGGAGAATCCATTGTATAAACTGAGCAAATATACCTGCTTGGTTGAATTTTTAATTCAAGCTAGTCTTGTATAAATGGGCTTCAGGGCAGAGAAATGTCTGCTAAATATTTTATTTTAGTGGGGCATAATTGATACCTTGGACATAGAGGATTGTTTCTTTTTTTAAAGATTTTTATTTATTTATTCATGAGAGACAACAGAGATTCAGGCAGAGACACAGGCAGAGAGAGAAGCAGGCTCCCCACTGAGCAGGGAACCTGATGCGGGACTCCATTCAAGACTCGATCCCAGGACCCCGAGATCAAGCCCCAAGCGAAAGGCAGATACTCAACCGCTGAGCCACCCAGGCACCCCACAGAGGGTTGTTTCTTGAGCCTCTTTAGATTCCTTTGATAAAAACCTAGAGAAGGATTGTATATTTTCCTGATTGTGATTGTATGGTGATAAAGATGACACTAAATGGTTCAGATACCTACAAAGTACTGAGGCTAGGTCACAGCCCTCCTTTGCAGTACTTGGGACTAAGACCTTATCTCTGAACTCAGGCTTTGCTGAAGCATTGAAATTTGGAATCTTGCTTAAACTCAGCTTTGCCTGTTGGCTTTTGTTGTTGTTGAGGAAATTGAAGCCTCAGAGTAAATTGATGAATATAGTAAATGCTTCACACTGTCCTATGGCTGTTTCTCAATAACATGAGTGAAAAAGTGATAGCTCATGGACAATTAGTTGTGTCTTATACCGTCTCATACAAGGTATTAGTAATTTTGGTGATGTCCTATTGAGGAAAAAAATTCTTTAAATTTAGGCACTTTTGAGGCCATCATAGGAGATTTATACCACACACAGAGGACTGGCCCAGAGGTTTGGCAAAAATGAAAATCCTGAACATAAATCTTGTAGTTTTAGTAATTGTGATAAGTGCAAAGGATAGAATTTTAACTAAAGGAACAGGAGATATACCTTTTGTTAAAAAGCCAGGGGCTGTCCAGTGAGTCTGGCTAGAGACACTGGATTTGGCCTGTTCAAGATGAGGTCCTGCCAGCATCTAGGATGCCCTGCATGGCGGCTCACCAGGATCTTGCAGTCACACTGTAAGCCATTCTGAAACAATTGCATTGTTGTTCCTATATTTACAAAGCTTCCTTTCACAATCTGTTTCCTGGATCTAACAGCCAGGTTCCAAGCATGATATCTACAGCAACACCAGCTCTGTCTTGCTTCATTGTAGGTTATGAAAGGATGAGTAAGCATCACACATGTGTGGGCCTGCTGGAGCTGTGTAATCATGACCAGTCTGTTCTTGGGCGGGGGGGAGGGGGGGTGAGCTTGACAGGCCTGGCCAGATGCACCACAGTCTAATGAAGACGAAGGAGGACCTACCTATCCTCAAGGACTTTACCACATATGATAGATACCCAACTAGAATAAGATAAATGTTGGAAGAGAGTAAAAACAGTGCTACAGAGCAGTGGGAAATGACCTGACTTAAGGAT